TTAATTTTCAGTGTATTGGTGTGATGACGGCACTATGGTACAGTATATTTTTCAAGTAGTGGTACCCCAAACTTTCGCAGCTCTTATAAATTCCCTTTTAACACCATCAATAGGTAAACTCCCCCTCCCCCCCCCCCGCGCCAAACGGCAAGTCCACCGGCACGTACACCACCTCTTTTCTAAAATCGGCCAATCAAATGCTAATTTTTACGCTAATTTCTTTGACAGGACACCTTGTTTGCTCGCACACAGCTTAAAGGTCCGCGGTCTGAGCGTGGCTGTGTTTCACTCCAGCGCTGTCCTCGAGACAGCCTGATCCCTTCACCTGATGAAGGCCGCTTGTGTTGTGGCCGAAACGTCGTGATTTTTGTTATTTTATTTTTTACCTACGTGACTTTACCCAATAGAACCAAAGAGTACGGTAGGACCAATACCTCAGTCGTGTCTGATCATTATTTTAACGCGGTGGGCACACATGAAATTTATTTAATGAACAAATCCATCAGCAAAGATTTGTTCATTAACCCATCCAGATATATAAACACAGATAATTTCAACCCAGAAGATGGGTACAAACTGAGCAATCATTGGAAGGACGTTATTAACCAGTTTAGGTCATAACTGGCTGTGATGTTCCTATCCTACCTACCTATGTTAGCAGTTATTTTAGGCGCAATTAATTTTATTTGTGCGAATGATTAGTTCTTGTGCAGAATTTATTTATTTTGCGCTTAAAATACTAAATTGTGCACACGATATACTGAATCGTGAGCGGTTAACATTTCTTTTTCATTTCCATAAGGGAACTCCGTAGTTAAATCAATATCCTGAATGGTTAAATTCAGTCACTCATGGTTCATAGTAGGACAATGGCGAAAAGAAGCATGACGTCATTTTCTAGGGAAAAATAACAAAAATTTAATGGAGGAATAATTAATCATGGAGGACGCGTTGGCTATCGTATGCTTGCCGAATGATGTATATTTAGTAGGTACTCTATGATTAATTATTTCTCCATGCTCAAAAATAGCTGTTTGATATCTTTGTACCCAAAAACTTCTCTCTATATTATTATAAAAGTTATCATAACATTAATGATAGTACAAAAATGTAATACTGACATTAAAAAACAAAAATGCGTGTGATTTTAAATTCTGTCGATTAATATGACAGGAATAATATTACTTACGTTTTTAAAATTCTTATTCGAAAATATATCAAGCGTTTTTATTATAATGACTGCATTACATTTTTATTTGCACTTCCTGACGAAGTATTATTCTCACACAGGCGAAACCTCAACAACCATTTACAGCCTTCAGCCAGGAAAATCTCGCAAAAAAAACGTTCACACGAACGACGCATTCACGCTAGCACCCGATGCTCCGTTTTGAAGATTAAAAATGAAACATCTTTGAATTGTATTTATATTTTTAATTAGATAATTTTATTTCTTCATTAAGCTTTTATCATTTTACATCTGGAAGACTTCACTGAAAACGACATTTCGTGTGAATTTTCTCTTGTAGATGGCCTTGCTGGGGGTTCGGTTCGATGCAGACTTTCACCTGTTTGGGATTGCGGGATTGAGATAAGGCGGTTAATTCTAGATTTTAAGTTTTCGTGACTGCAAGGATCCATACTCTTTGGTTCTTTTGGTAAAGTCATGTAGGTAAATATAAAATAAAGCAAAAAATTTAAACAATTAAAAAAAACGTTTTACATTTTTTTTGTTTAAAGTTTTTGTTTTATTTTATTTTTACCCACGTGACTTTACCGAAAGAACCAAAGAGTATGAGATAGGGCGACACAGAGCTGGCCGTGCGAGAAGACCGCCGTCTGCAGATCGATTCCAACGCTATCGAACGTCTGTTCCTGCCCCTCCGTCGTTCATGCTTGGGGCGCGTGTAGGTTTGCAGCGCCCCCTGCATGAAAACGACGGAAAGTGCAGCGTTCATCACAGATAAAGTTGTGCGCTTATACTGGTAGGAACGAAGTTGTAAACTGAGTGTACCAGCCTGCAATAGATGAATGTGTCCGTCCGTCCGTCCCCTTTCAATACTTTAACGAAGTGAAAAATTCCAATGTTCCTACCAGCCCACCCTACAGGGACCTGTTATAAGAGTATAAAAGTATGACGGAGTTTTCAGTTTAGTTTTCAGTTTATTTATTTTGGTATTGCTCTGTGAGCCATTCGGCTCTTGAATCGGGTGCAACCACAACAAACAAAAAACACGAACAAGAAAAACATCTTGAAGTGACTATGTGACTGTGCAAACAGAAAATCCATGAAAAAAACAGCAAAATATTCCTGAAAAAAGCACCGTACACCAGCGCTTTGTGCAAAAAATCCCAGTGGGATGCAAGTCAAACAACAACAACCACAAGAAAACTTAGATTAAGGCCATTAGTCTAACTCCGTACTACAACAAAACAAACATGTCCAAACCAAAAAACTTTTCGAAATCACCAAAAAATAAAGCCATAATTGCAACGTAACAGTGATCATAGGGACTGTGACCGAATTTTTACAATAAACTACATAAATAACATGTAACACCAAATCCTAGAGCCATAGCTGGCTGCATGAGTTACTCCACAACAACAGAAGCATGAGTCTGAGTATCAAATTTTTCAATGCACCTTGAAGATCAGCACGCTAAATCAAAATACAGATAATACTTTGCAGCGTCATCCGGAGCGAAACATTTTATTTTATTTTACGCCAATGAATAGCAGTGGCAGCTAGGGGTGGTAGCGATTCAAGTTGCAGTTTATTGGCAATATCATTCCAGACACTGGGGGCATCAATAGCAAAGGCCCTTCAGTTTTTGTACGGCAATAGGGAATGTGAAGCTGATAAATGAGCGAAGACCTGAGGTCAAATTTGTTCTTTGAAACAGAGAGGAGATCCAGCAGGTAGTCTGCGGATTTTTTCTTTGTAAGTACATCGTCAATAAATAAGATCTGGTGCACAAGCCGTCGAACATTAAGTTTGACCCAATGTAGAGAGCACAGTGGTGAGTCCTATATGGGCAGTTCAATGTAAATCTTAAGGCCGAGTGATAGATGGAATCAAATTTCGATTTAAAGCTTTCGTGACTGCAAGGATTCATCTTCTTTGGTTCTTTCGGTAAAGTCACGTAGAATGAGATTAAAATAATAAAATAATACAATTCTCACGACGTTTCGGCCACAACACAAGTGGCCTTCTTCAGGTGAAAGGAACAAACCTGTTGGGACGACAGAGCTGAAGAAGGCCACTTGTGTTGTGGCCGAAACGTCGTGAGAATTTTATTATTTATTTTATTTTATTATTTTATTCTCATTCTACGTGACTTTACCGAAAGAACCAAAGAAGATGGAATCAAGCTTCTTCAGCAGAGTACTAGGGGCTGATTTATACACGATGTCACAGTAGTCAAGTAGAGGCAGTATCAATTCCAAACGGAATATTGGGGGGAAGCAGTGCTTGTGTCGATACAGAAAACCAATGTTTATTTTTGTCTTTTTACCAATATAATCAATGTGATCTTCAAAATTCAGTTTTGAATCCAGGATGATCCCAAGATACTTATAGATCTTGACTTGCTCTATTTGATAATTATTTAAGGAATGTAATTGGGGAAAAATAACTTCCTGCTTTAGTCCTGGTGAGAAGCATAGCAGCTTGGTTTTGGAAGTATTCAGGACTGAATTTTGATTTAAAGCTTTCGTGACTGCAGTAATTCATATTCTTAGTTTTTTCGGTAAAGTCACGTTGAAGAGAAACAACAAAATAATAAAATATATATGAAACAATAAAAAGATTCTCACGACGTTTCGACCATAACTCAAACGGTCATCTTCAGGTGTGTTGGTTTGCATATATTTTTTTTGAGTTATGGTCGAAACGTCGTGAGAATTTTTTATTGTTTTATATATATTTTATTATTTTGTTGTTTCTCTTCAACGTGACTTTACCGAAAAAACTAAGAATATTCAGGACTGGTTTAAGAGCAACTAGCTGATCCATAATAAAGGTTTTTGGGTTAGATCGCGTTTATTTATAAATGTGTCGTAACTCTCCACCACCCGACACGGCCAATCAGCAAAAAAAAGTGTCACGTTGACAAAAGACAAATAATTCACTACTTTAGCCCACCGGTGTGTTGAAGAGTGAATCCACATTTACAGTTTGAGTACGACGTTTCGCTGGTAAATATGTGGCAGCTGCTACATTGGACAGACGGATTGTATAGTCGGAGTAACCATTAGCCTTAAGAGCTTGGTGTACGTGCTTGAGTTCACTGGCTATGTGTTCCTGGTCGGATATGCATTGGGCTCTATGGTGCAGAGTCTTGATGAGATAATTCTTCTGTGATGGATGGTGGTGGGAATCCGGTTTCAGATAAGCATCCGTATGGGTAGCTTTCCTGTAGACAGAGTGGCTCATTGAACCATCAGGTCTCTTTTTTATTAGGACATCCAAAAAAGGTAGTTTGCCATCTTTTTCGACTTTCATGGTAAATCTGATGGCTGGGTGCATGGAATTGATGTGGTCGAAGAATTGGTCTAGAGCAGGCCGGCCATGTGGCCAGATGACAAAAGTGTCATCCACGTGCCTCTTCCATAAGGTTGGGCGCAGAGTGGCAGTCTGGATGGCGTCAGTCTCAAATTTCTCCATGAAAATGTTGGCTATAACCGGAGATAGGGGGTAGCCCATTGGGGTGCCCTCAGTTTGTTTGTAGAAAGTTCCATTCAAAAGTGAAGTATGTATTGGTTAAGCAGTGTCTCACCAGGGGGGGTACCTCAGTGTTTAGTCGTTGATGAACCAAGTCTTCAATGATTGCGATGGTGTCAGGTACAGGAACTTTGGTGAATAAGGAAACTACATCAAAACTGACAAGCAGGTTGGAAAATCAAGAGACAAGGGGCGGGGCGAGGAGCGTGGGGCTGGGGTTGCGGGGCGGGCGGGGGCGGAGTACCGAACTGCATAACATGACGTCACCTATGGAGGTGACGTCATTTACCACACGTTGAGGGTGGGTGAGGCTCTCACCACGCTGCTCACGGAGACGGAGACATGGCGAGCGGTAGCAGCAGCAATAGCGGCGGCCTGCCCAGCGACCTTTTCCCCTTCATCTACAGCTTCTTGCTGGAGAACAAATTTGTGAAGGCGGCCCAGGAGTTCGTGAAGAAAGCCAAAGTGGTGGGCCCCGGGGCGCTGGGGGGCGTGAGGGTGGTTGTGGTGGTGGTGGTCGCAGCGATGGAGACACGTGGTCGCCGAGGCCTGCGTGACTGGGCCCTCGCAGAGATTGGCGTTAAATTGTTACATTTTAAGTGGCGTTGACGTTTCATATGTCGGTGGTAATTGCACGTGCAATGTTTCTTAGTGTGCCGCCTTCGGCGAGGGTGCTGAAAAGCGAGAGAAGCGAAGTCTCCGTACTGTGCCCTGCATAGCTTGCAGCGTGGTGATAGAGAAAAAAATCTACTAACGTTATGGTCAAGCGCGTCAGTGTGGCATCAGACGGTGATTTTTTATTTTTACAGACAGTCGTTACATGGCTATGGCGCAATTACCATTACCTCGTTTCAACAATTTCATGCCAAATGCGGCGAAGATTAACACACTTTATCGGTTATAAGACTGGTGAGGCATCTACACATTTGATAGGGTGAATCGTTTCTGCCCAAATTGACTTAAAGGGCCAATCTTAGTGGGTCTTTAGCGGAAAAATAAGACCTTGGTTCAAATAGGTGTAATTGTTTAATCCGTAAGTAAATTACATTAATTATAATTGCAATGTACTCGAGTTGTGAAAATGCTCTTGAATATTGATGCGATGACAGTACCTTGTGTGATTTATTTTTCCTTTATTTTACAGAAATTGCCAGACCCTGATGGTCCCAAGCTGTTGGATGTGTACAATGTGTGGGTCAAGTAAGTCACGCATACTTTGTGTCCTGATTGCATGTGCGCATTCCACAGTCAATGTAACCTAGTTATCCTTTTCCAAAACTGACGACCTATTTCAATCAAAATACCTAATGGTGGGGCCACACGTGACCACACGGCAACACATGCCTTCTGTTTTGCAGTGACACGTGAGTGCGATAATATTAGAAACGCAGTGTTAGCACTTGGAAAATACAGCCCTCTAATACCCAATAAGTGCAGTGGCTAAGGTGTTTTCATGGATGGTTAATAATCGTTTATATGCCGTTTCAAATTGGAAGACCTTGTGTGGCCAAAGGCCTTGTCAAAGTGTAATTGGCCCGTGGGTTTTAGTATCCCCCCACCTGATTGAAGATATATGAAGTTGTTAATGTTAGTTAATTACAGGTTACAGAGAAAAGGTGTTTTACAGTGACGAAGAGGAAAGCCAGGTATGAGAGCAGGGGGTGTATTGACTAATATGCAGAAGCGGTGAACCACAGACAATTTAGTTAGCAGATGTCATCAAAATAAATATGTAAAGTATAATTTTTTTAAATAGAAATATTGGAGATAAAATCACATAAATAATATGGTTAGCGTATGCAAAAGCTAGATATGAGAGTGTCATCGGTCGAGGTGACAAAAGTGTGTAAAAATAAAGGGTCAATCACGGAAGCTGCTTTGATTTCTGAGTCTACCGCCCCCTCATGCTTCTATACTTATCACTGCAGAGACGTAAGGTGGTTTACTATATACATTCAGCCTTCTGAAAGGTTTACTTAATTATTGAAATTTAAAAGCACATGGTGGGTCATTTTCAATGCTAAGAGTGGTCCTGGGGGTCGGATTAAACGAGCTCCCAAGTCAAACTCGGCCTGTGTGCGGTAAGGTGGGAAAACTTGCCCAAGAGGGACATATAGTTCATTGGTCATGGCAGAAACTGGTGTTACTTAATGTGGCACGACGTTAGTGGTACCGTTTTCTTCATGTAGACAATTTTAGATTTCTCACATTTAACTTTACTTTACCATATACAAGGGTTTACACTTAAGTTTCCCTTGTCCAGGCCCATACACTAAGAGCAAAAGCTATCCCTACCACCACTTGAGCGATGATGGCTCAATAAAATTAACACCACTGATCAATTTTTCTCGCCAACATTACTGCTTTGTTACATATTCTATTTTAGATCCTTTACCACTGGACCTAGCCACCTGGTTTTTGGTATTTCACCAGTATCACTGCTTTGTTCAAGCTCAATACTAGATTCTCGTCCTCTGCATTTTCTAACCTGGATTTCTGTCTTATCATAGTATTTCCTTGCACACGGCTATATTATTGTGTGTTTTAAGAATGAATCACGACAGCGGTGTTTCTACCCATGAAAGGAAATTGTACTCTGTGGGCACAGCAATGATTGTTCCTGACGGTCACGCCACACTTTTTCGCAGGTCACCCGAGTCGCGCAAGAGAAAGGCGCAGTCTGTCATGGTGGAGCAGCCGACCGCCAGCAAGCGGCAACGCACTGCCGATCCCTCCAGCTCGTCTGAGAGCTCCGACACAGAGGATAAAAAACCAGCGACAGCCAGCGGTGCCAAAGGTTTGTGGACTGTAATAGGATGTGGTGACCGGCAAGTTAGTAATTTCCTGAGAACTGGTTTGTGTTTAGTTGTCCTTCCCTGCATACGGTGCAAACGAAGTTCAAGATACATACGTGCATCTGCCTCGAATGCCAATGTATGTCGGAAAAAGTGGCAACAAGATTGATGTCATCATGGCCACCACTACACTTTGCTTTCTATCAGCTAGATTCCGCAGCTGATGCATAATAGACAACCCAAAAATATGCCCTTGCAGTCTGGCGACAGACTAGTCTTAAGATCTTCCTGTTGACAGATTTGTGGAGACCAACATATTCTTCAGGGGAAAACGTGTGCAATTTATATGGAGTGGTGTTGCTGTCTCAGACAAGAACTAGGTTTCTTTGATTGGCAACTAAAGTGGATTTTGCCCATGGTAAATATAGCTATTACTAGGTTGTTGGGGGGCGCCTATGGCGCCTACGGCGCCCCCCAACAACCACAGCCTGCAGCGGCCCCAAACAGACTGGTCAAGTAAATCCTTACGATCCACTCGCACAGCGTGCGGTGGGCCTTCATCCAGCAGTGGATTTGAGCAAAAAAACTATACAACTAATGTAATGAGAACCGTGTGTATATGTCCATATGTAATAGATGTGTGTAGTCCACGTGTTTTTTACCATCAAAAGTATTATTGTAGAGTACTGTAAAAAGAACACGAACGGCTTTGCTGTACTTGAGGACTTTTAATAAGTCGAATAAGAGCGGCTTTACGCGGTTCACTTAAAACTTTCACTCTACATACCTTTTTTGACGATCCCGCGATGTAACTTGAATGTGAATGAATGAAAATTCTATTTAAACTTTAGTTGTGATATTTACATTCACTTCTAAGAGCTATCACTTATTAATCACTGAAAGAACTGTTAGGATTATTTGCAAGGTGTTAGCTTAAGGGGTCTTAGGAAGTGTTGGGGGGGGTCCCCCTCAGCCCCCACCCCTGTCGGCCCGTGAGCATGGTGGCAGATCAGCTGCCCACAGCGCCTTATTACGGCACAATATCACCTGGGGGGCGTACATGTTTGTGAGGGCGCATCTCTGGTTGGCTGCTTGCTTGCGGTCACGTGACGCACTTCAACCAATCTGTACCGCGTTAATCACAATGACAGAGTGACAGAATGACAGACCTGGGTGTTTATATATATTTATTATTGAAGCGATTGCTTTTTAACCCCAGCCTATTGTTTGAAGAAAACATTTACGAGATCTGGTAGTCATAAAATGCTGTTTTTTGTCAAAGCCTATTCTAATAGGTTTATTTTATAATTGTGCTTGAATGATATTATTTTACTGACTTGTAAGTCTTATGCACCGGCTTGCAGTTTTATTTTGTATTTAAGTTGTACAAATGTCACTTTTGTTGCCTACACAATGCACACATTTTGCTCTGGTTACACACACCCCAGTAGACAATACACCAAAACCTTGCCTATCGCGGGGGTTACGTTCTTAATAGAAATATGTCGTATACATTACTGTACACGTATACATAAAAGTCAACCTGGAAATAACGGTAACGGTAATGACATGTACAGTAAATATTGTGCAGCTTAAAAAAAACTAAAAACATTTCCTTAGCATGGATGATGATAGCGTGTATGCTTCCAAGGCAGCATCATCGCGAGCAGATTTCAGTCAGAGTACAGTACTTCTTGACAATGTGTACAAGGATTTCGCTTTCAATAGTCGAGCCACAGGGGTGCAATAGGCGAACTATACCTCCGTAAATTTGGTCAATTCTGTGATTAGACTTGCGATGGGCGAAATTTGAGTGTAGAGCATTATTCTTATGAAATGCAACCATTTCTCTGTTCGATAGATGGAAAACCGAGCAATGGTGTGCCTGTTAAGAAAGAGGCAGCACCTGTCAAAGGTAACGGCGCGCCAAAGCAGAAAGACGTTTCAAGCAGCGACAGTTCGGACGACTCTGAAGACGAGAAGCCAGCAGCAAAGAAACAAGCAAAATCTGGTGTGTGCATGTGTACACGGATGTCAGTGTTGGCATAGTGGTGTGGTGGCGTGTGAGGGAAACGGTAGTGTTGTGGCTGCTGGCACGCTGGGAAAAATTTGGGGGTGAATATCTGAACCAATCCTGGGCCTCTCCTTGGTCGACGCAGCCTGCCTGACATGTGTGCACAGTGCGATTTGTAAATATCAATTCTGGGGGGCCCTCCTTGTGCGCCATGCCAACCTTCGTAGATGCTCGTTAACGGCAAGCAATGCGCCCCAACATTCTCAAGGCCGCACAGGGGATCTTTGCTTTGTGCAGTCCTACATAATGGACACCAAAACAGCACTTCAGGAGCGAATTGGCTCTTTTGATGGGTTTTGTCTGTGAAAACAGTTGTAGCTGTGGAGACATATGTGATGTTAGGTTAACGGCAATAAAATGATTGCTCAAGTTTGTAGAGTAGTGGTCCTATGGAATTATTTGCCACATCCACATGAATGGTTTGATTTTTTTAATCACTTAAAACAAGCTGTAAATGAAGTCCAATTTGAGGCAATTTTCTTAGGTGTGTTTGAAAACCAATACCAATGCACATGAGCGTGCAAAGTTCAACCTATAGCTTTGCGTATTTAACATCCACACAATTACTGCACTGCTCCACAGCATGACACTACATTTCACAAATGTATGCTTATTTGACAATTTATAGAATTTGGATCCAATAGCAACAATAGTTTCATTTTTTTAATTGGTGTAAAGTGTTGCCAATTGTGCCCTCAATACATATTGGGCCATTATTGCTAATCTGTGGTAATTTTTGAAGTGATTGGTTTATATGTATTGTTATTGTCTTTAAAACGTGGCTTTCTTGGGTGGTCGGAGGCAACATTTCCTGGGATAGCAATAAGTAGGCTATTGGGCTCCCCTCTTGATATATATGTACAAGCTGTGTGTAGTCCAATTTTCACTCTTGGTTCATGCCGAAACAAGAGATGGATTGCCTCCCCATGTTTGGGTGAGAAACAAATTGTGTATGTGCTGTTAGAGCAAGGCTTTCATATGCCGCATAAGGACGGGGGAGAATCGGCTTATTTATTTGAAAAACTAGGTTGTCTTTTACCACAATCCTGTGTTTATTGTTTTTCGAATTTGACGCAGGAGCCTATAGCGCAGTGCCTCCTCCCTCTGTATTGAACAAGTCTTCGAGTGCAACTCCGGCTTCCAAGGCACCACCACCCCCCGCCTCTTCTGCCAAGGGAAAGGCCTCTTCGTCCAGTTCAGATAGTGACTCTGGTAAGTGCCTTGTAATTTTATCTCCAGCATTTTTTTTCTCAAAACCTCTTTGTATGATATGTTTTTGTTGTCAACAGTTCTTGCAGTGAATTGCTTTCAATCTTGGAATGAAAGATGGGTCTATTTGGACAAAAATTGTTCTTGATTTGAGAGAAAAAAAATCTTCATTATTTGTGCCTTGTATTCTGAATGTACACTTAGTCGAAAACATCTTGATAACCTTTCCCAACAAGAAATACGTTTCCTGAGATCCTCTTTAATGTAATTGAAATAATAGCCCCATTAGTCATCACGTGGATTATCGTTATGCTTGTTTTATTGACCACACTGCAACAGGGTTACCCCAAAATGCAATGTGTTAGGAACATTTTGTAAATGTCCAGTACTTTTTTTACACATGTATACTTTGTCATTATTTTAAGCGTTTATCGATTACTCTATCCAATCATAGGTAATGTTTCATATGGCAATTAAAAAATTGTTCATGAAGATTTTTTGTAAATATAGTTTGGATCGGGCCCAATAATGTATAGTGCAGTCTTGGAATCTAATTATCCACTTTCTCCACGGCTTTGTGTGCTATGAAGAGAGTAATTTCCCCAAAACACCGACTATATGTTTTTCCTTTTATGGCAGTGTTATTGACAAAAGTGATGTTTCATCACAATAAAAGGTTGCTTATGTACTAACAAACTCGGTGAGTTAAATTTAGAATTACTATATATATTCGACATTCAGAAATGTGAAATCTATATTGCTTTTCTGTAATTTTTAAGCAATACTTGTTATGCAAGGTGTGCCAATTGGTTTGTCGATGCCTGCTTTGCAAAGGCCACTGTCTCAATGTGCTCATATGTTATAAATCAGGGTTTAATATATTTTGGAATTCAGCATAAGTTTAATAATATACTTTACATTTAAGCGGACACGCTTATGTTTGCACCGTGTGCATTTGCTTCAAATGTACTTTATATTTACTCATGTAAACTGTTGATTATTTTATTCGATGCAAGTATGGAATGATTAACCTCAATGGCAGCAGTGCATTACGTGGTATATTTTCATTTTTAGACTCTAGCAGCTCCGATGATGAAAAGAAAAAGAAATCTCTCACAGCTGGCGTGGCACCGGCCGCGGCAGCAGTGAAAGTGACTCCGGCGAAGGCGGCGAAGAGCGATTCGAGCTCTGACGAAGAGAGCGACGAGCCCGATAAAAAAAAGAATACGGTCAAAAAGGTGACCAAGAAAGCAAAGAAAACCCCAGCTAAAGCAAAATGCCCTGAAAAAAAAGATGTGGCTGCTAAGCCTCAGAAGAAAAAAGCTGCAGCAACTCCAGTATCAAAAGCATCGAATGAAAACAAAAAAATGCCACTGAAGACAAAACCCCAGAGCAGTAGTTCGGACAGCTCCAGCAGTGAAGAAGAAGATGAGGCCAAAAAACCTGCAGCTGTTACCACCCCAAAACCTCCCCCAGCAAAGGTGGAGGTAGTGGGCCCTGCCGGTGCAGTAAAAGCCAGCAGCAGCGATTCTTCTGATAGCTCCAGTAGTGATGAGGAGCCGAAAAAAAAGACTGCAACCCCTGCCGCAACACCGACGGTGAAAAAACCAGCAGCAAAAACTCCAGCTGCAGCAAAGACCGCACCTAAAGAAAAATTGGCAGCAGCCAAGAAAGAGAGCAGCTCTGATTCCGACGATAGCTCCGACAGTGACGAGGAGCCAAAGAAACCGGCCACTCCAGCAACAAAAGCGGTAGCGGGAAAAAACACGCCTTCTAAAGCAGCAAAGACACCAGCAGTATCGAAGACGCCAGCAGTATCGAAGACACCACCTGCAGCGAAAAACCCAGCAGCCAAGAAAGAGAGCAGCTCTGATTCCGACGATAGCTCCGACAGTGACGAGGAGCCAAAGAAACCGGCCACTCCAGCAACAAAAGCGGTAGCGGAGAAAAACACTCCTTCAAAAGCAGCAAAGACACCAGCAGTATCAAAGACACCAGCAGTATCGAAGACACCAGCAGTATCGAAGACACCACCTGCAGCGAAAAACCCAGCAGCCAAGAAAGAGAGCAGCTCTGATTCCGATGATAGCTCCGACAGTGACGAGGAGCCAAAGAAACCGGCCACTCCAGCAACAAAAGCGGTAGCGGAGAAAAACACTCCTTCAAAAGCAACAAAGACACCAGCAGTATCGAAGACACCAGCAGTATCGAAGACACCACCTGCAGCGAAAAACCCAGCAGCCAAGAAAGAGAGCAGCTCTGATTCTGATGATAGCTCCGACAGTGACGAGGAGCCAAAGAAACCGGCCACTCCAGCAACAAAAGCGGTAGCGGAGAAAAACACTCCTTCAAAAGCAACAAAGACACCAGCAGTATCGAAGACACCAGCAGTATCGAAGACACCACCTGCAGCGAAAAACCCAGCAGCCAAGAAAGAGAGCAGCTCTGATTCCGATGATAGCTCCGACAGTGACGAGGAGCCAAAGAAACCGGCCACTCCAGCAACAAAAGCGGTAGCGGAGAAAAACACTCCTTCAAAAGCAACAAAGACACCAGCAGTATCGAAGACACCACCTGCAGCGAAAAACCCAGCAGCCAAGAAAGAGAGCAGCTCTGATTCCGACGACAGTTCTGACAATGACGAGGAGCCAAAGACGACAACTACACCAGGATCAAAGGCAGCAAAAAAAGCGCCCGTGAAAAAGACTGCAAAGTCTGCGAAGACTCCTGCAAAGAAAGGCAAGTTGAGTTCAAGCAGTGAAAAGAAGACCAAAATAAAAGCTGCAACAATGCCAGCTGATAACTCTGTAGTGGAGAAAAAAACTCCAAAAAAGAATGCTATGCAGACTCCTGCAGCTGCTAAGAAAGACAGCAGTTCCGATTCAGATAGTTCTGATGATGAGGCGGGGCCCAAGAAAGTCACTCCTCCCACAGAAAAATCTATCTCCGCTTCTGCAACAAAGCCAGCCAAATCACCGGCCACAGCAAAGAAGCCAGTGGCTGAGAAGAAAGAAAGCAGCTCAGATTCCGACAGCTCTGACAGTGACGAAGACGAAAATGAATCGAAGAAAGGGGTAAAACCTTCCATAAATAAATCGGTTCCGGCCCAGGCCACCCCGGCAAAGCCCAACGTGGCTCCTGCCAAGAAGCAAGAGAGCAGCTCAGATTCAGACAGCTCGAGCAGCGAGGAAGAAGATAAGGCTGCCAAAACTACCACCATTACACCGCAGGCGAAGGCAGCACCGGCACAGCAAAAGGATGCACCTGCTGCAGCAAAAAAATCAGCAGACAGCAGCTCGGAGTCCGACAGCTCAAGCAGCGAGGACAAAAGTCCCGCAAATAGCAAGGCGGCCGTAAAGGGTGGTGCCCCTGTTGTGGCGACGAAGCCAAATGGGAAGTCTCCAGCCAGCAAGACCGCCAAGGCGGATGGCAGCAGCTCTGACAGCTCCTCTTCGGTGAGTGGCGGCAAGGTTGGAGAACATGTAGGACCGGCTGTGCCATGACAACTGCCTTGTGCACAAAAGCTCTTAGTCTTTTCCAAAAATAAAAAGTTCAATGGTTGTCATACATAGCCCTCAAAATCTGTAGACAACTGTGTATGACAACACCTTAATTATTTGAGCGTTATGAAATTAAGCCGACAGCTGTCAAATGAAATTACTGAACTTCAGTTATTGTTTGAACTATCAGAATTAAAGAATGGTGAAGCAGCTTTGTGTTGACTCCTTCGGTTAACAGGCTTGAATCCTTAGCTTTTTTTAAAGGTATACTTTTTTTTTAAACCAATACTTTGCATATACGTACCTGAGAATTATCAGTTAAGGAGACTTATTTGTGTGGTTTAGAATGAGTAACAATTTTAAAACTGTTTTACCAGTCGGAGGATGAAGACGACAAAACGAAGGCTGCGGCAACTCCCAAGCCAGTCGTGGCAGATACTGCCAACACTTTGTCGGGTAAGGAAAAGGGCAGCAGTTCCTCCAAGACACGGCATTAAAAATGTCACACCTTAGCTGTACATGTGTAGCCGATTGTTTGAATCCACTGCTGCATGAGCCCTCCCCCAGACTGTTGTTTGTGTGGGTTATTTCATCATCCTGAAACCATGCTGGTTTGTGCGGGTTCGTGATGTTGGGTGACAGACACGGGGGCATAGTGGCAGTACTAACAGTTGAGTTTGTTGGATTGCCAAAACTGCTGTTAAGGTTATAGAACTTGATGGTAGAATGGTCATCTGATCAAAAGCCGAGTTGTACCGCTAAGTAATGTCCTTCATGTGTTATTCACCAAATAAAATTTACCACTTACAAAATCATTCGCATAGCCTTGCCTCGACAGATTCTTTAAAGGGTGTTTCGTTTCAAGCTTCCGTGGTTGAGAACAAGTGAATGTCCCCTGTCAAATGTGCAGGGAGTGTGAATGGAAAAAGGAAACGAAAGAGCATCTCTGCTTCAGAAGACGCAAATGAAAAGAATTTGGATGCGATGTCTACCCCATTAAAAAAGGAGAAGCTGAAGACACCACAGACCGTCCCCAAGGCTTCGAAAAAGGTGTCGACTCATTACTTGTCCATAGCTGCTTGATTGTTTGGCCTTTGGAGATTGAGAAACACGACTGGGTAACTTTCACCTGGGGGCCCACAGCAGTCAGACGGAAGAATGGGCGTCTGATCGGTGGCTGCTGCTAGCTAGAAATTGCCGTGAAATCGGTTGTTTCACAACATGATACGAAATCAAAGTTCACCATATGTCGATATTGCGATTTCAGTTTTCCAGAACTTGGTTGTTTTGCATTATTGGTATCGTTTAAGATTACTTATGTAATTAAATTGCAGTTCACTCAACCAGCCTGCCAATAATATTCTAACCATTGCTAGTTTACAACCTATAATGCTTAAAAAATGCACATGCTGTCAGTCACACAATAAATAAATAATTAGATCGACTGAAATTGGGACTTATGATCACCATGCTTTCAGCTACTCCAGAAAACATTTAGCAAATTACTAATATAATGAATATCTATTTATATACATACAACTTTCATGATTGAGTTTTGTCATTTTGTAAATACTCCCGTCGGAAAGAATACAGAGAAGTAAAATGAGCAAAAATCGCAATGTAGCGATATTTTGAAAAGGAAACGATACGAATATCTTGGATCTTATATCGCACAATGTACCGTAGCATGCCTAGATGACGTGCACAATCGTAGCCGGGGGGGGGGGGACCTTTAAGCCTTTCCTTGCATCGATCGCTTTCTGTTTAGCCCCTGCTTCAATGGCTCTTGACCTGTGCGCACGCTAAGTAGCAGAGCAGTCATTTGTCAGTTGTCGGTTTCGCATGTGTAAATGTTGAGTTTTATTCGCCAATCGGCTGACATGCGTTTTGCTTTGGTGGTGTGTGCGGCAGAAGGCCAATGGCAACACTCCGTTCAGGCGCGTGAATGACGACGACGTGGAGATTGACCCACGTCTCAGCAACAACTCGTTTGACGCGAAGGTCCGCACCTTGTACAAACCTGCCCATTAAAGTCATTTCCCAGTCATTTACAAATCTCTTTTACCAATCATATTCTACTCCTTTAATAGTTTTCACCGCTTTGCCTACTTCTGTGTCTGTGGAGGTGGTGGTTGTTGACTATACCCAACCACACTGGTCAGTGAAACTTGACGAGGACCGTTTCAGGTATCACTCGCCACCGATGTTAGCTGCGACTGGGTCGCTGGGTTCTAGGCACATTGCCACTGTGCCACTGCTCTTGCCCACGTTATAATGGCTCGCATTTTTTTTTTCATTGTACAGCACACCCAGCTAGCTATTTCGTATAGTGCCAGTTTAAACTAAACAATGTTTCGTAAAAGTATAGCCATTCAAATGTCTTAATTGCTCAGGTCAACTTGACTGTTAGTGCATCCACGACCGAGTGGTCGTTCTTTGCCCACCATCTGTCAGATGGGACAGAGGATCCCCTGACGTTATTCAGAAGAGTTAAGCCATTGTGTTGTTGTCTTGGTACAACATTTTCTAAATTCGAAAATTTTCCACAAATTACTTAAATTACTAATATATATAGCAATCAATCCCCTATTGGCATACTAATGCCCCAGCTAACCTTTGCAAATGAGACTACCATTGTCTCTCGTTCTCACCTGGTTAAACAAAATAAACTTGTCAACTATCCCAGTGCACATTAACAAGAACTTGTGTACTACCAGCGTTGGGCATGCAGTGTGGGTATAACATGGGACCTTCAACCTAATTGATTGTTTTATTTTGCCCTTGTGAATTCAGGCCGGTGCTAAGGGTGACTGGGGTGAGAAGGCATTTCATGACCTAAAAGTGACCAAGGGCAAGTCCTTTAAACACGAGAAGACAAAGAAGAAACGAGGCAGCTATAGGGGAGGGCAAATCAACATGACTGCCGTCAACTCTGTCAAATTTGACAGCGAATGAATCAACGTGCGCAGAGAGGGCATGAGAAACTGCAAATGTGTGATGTTGCTGCATTCATCCTGCCAATTGTTTTTAGCCCCCCCCCAGTCTCGGAGTGTACTCCAAATTTCAGAATAGTGCGGATTAATTAAACATGCTTCTATTTGAATGGAGGAAAAGTTCAATTGTTTAAAATGTTACTTTTTGGAGGTAGAACTAAAGTTTGAGAAACTCTTGTCATTTTTCTGAAAAGTAATGTTACATTTCCTTAAATGAGTATGGTTTTATTTAATTTTTACAGTAGTGGTTAACTGCCTTAAATAATTGTATGATGTTTTTTTGGAAGTTTAGTCTTGTCCTTCAGAGAATTAGTTTGCAATGTGTAAATTTTCGAGAAATGTTAACAATCAGTCACACCAAGTTCATGTATTGGTTTCTTAAAATAAATATTTTACAAAATAACTTTGAATGGGCTTCCAGTGAATGAAAGACCATTGCTACGTGTTCTCTGAGAGGACACTAAGCAGTAGTTTTTACAGTGGTTGTAAGCTATAGCACTGGCTATGACTACTTTGACACCAATGTTTTTGACGTGGATAAAGAGGCTAGCACTTAGCTGGCACCACAGACAATGGGTTGGTTCAAATCTTGACTTTCGGCCACTGACAACCTGGTTATCCAAGTATCATGATTTAATGGTCCAAGACTGGTTACCATTTGGCCACATTCCAGCTCCAGAAAGCATATTAGTTTGACAAGTGACATGCAAATAAGTATTGCGCTTGGGAAATTGGTTACTATTGTAATTATGAATTGGCCCCTTAAATGGATTCTGAACTCCTGTTAAAGTCTGCAGAGCACGATTCACATACATTTTCCGAATTGACGCGTGGACCAGAAATTAAGTGTAGGGGGCAGGGTGGTTTGGGTTGGGCAAACAGTTTTGTAAAAAAAACCCCAACCAATCGCTTTTAAGCTACCGAAAAGTTCAATACTTAATGCCCAGATTTCTTTGTTTTTTGGGCAAACACTGGCAACGAAATGCATTTTTACATGTGGTTTAGATGTTGATATGCAGCATACAAGTGCGATCAGCCTTGGTATGAGCGCAGCCTCTGGAGTCTTCCAATGTAGAAATCTACCTTATTGACTTTCCAACCTTCAAACTCATTTCCACTGGGTGTGCATAAAAGTAATGCAGTAAAATGCACAGTTACTTTGTGGGAGGCAAAACGTAACCTTTCCTTGATTTGGATCACGTACTGCAGAATAAGTCCCAAGTTAATCACCTGATAGAAGCTTCGTTTAATGCTGGGGGCTCAAGAGTTCGGGTAGAATTAATATTATATTCTTGGTTCTTTCGGTAAAGTCACGTAGAAGGGAAACAATAAAAATAGAAAACATTCTCAAGTTTCGACTGCAACAAGCAATCATCAGGTGTGAAAAACAGCAATATTTTTTTCAAATTTTCTTGCCGTGTTTTTCACACCTGATGATGATTGCTTGTGTTGCAGTCGAAACGTGAGAATTTTATTGTATATTTTTATTTTGTTTCCCTTCTACGTGACTTTACCGAAAGAACCAAGAATATGAATCCCTGCAGTCACGAAAGCTTCAAATCAATATTTAGAATTAATATTTGTATGTCAACGTGTAATGTCTACAAAGCCCAGAGGGTAACGCTGGGCACCATGGGGGTGTAATTGTTAAAGTCTTGAGGTTCTGAACCATTAGGGCATCATGCGTTGGGTTCGCGGCTATTGATACGGCTTTATACCATTTAAAGGAGGGATGTTTGGCCTCTTCATTCATGGATGTTTGGAATGTGGAAGGAAACGTGTCCGGAGAAAACCCATGCATACAATAAAATAACGCTCAACGCCCTGCATTTGTGCATCAGGTATCCGCCATGGTTTGTGTGGATGCGGTTTAAGATGGACCATGAGCTTCGCGGTAGATGAAAACCAGGGATACATGCAATCACATCAGCCTCAGTGCTCCGCCTCAAGATATAAAGAGATTGGGTTCATTCTAACTTGGTCAGAGAGGCGTAGAATGTTTCAAATGACAGCATCTGAAGTGAATAACTTTGAGTTAATGGTTGTCCATTGAGATAGGTATCTACTGCAAACTTGCGCTCGTAAAACATGCATAGAGTCCACAATACTTATCTGTTACTATAATGATCTCAACTGCATAAAAAGGCCACTTCACCAAGTTTGTCACCTTTTTACTGGAAAAAGTGGAAATTCGAATTTATGTTATTTGGAATAACAATGGGACAACAAATCTAAGTCCTTCGAAAAAAAACGTATCCTCTGAATAATACTAATGTCATTTATATTTTGTTGAATAAATGCATGTTTAACGCAGAAAATGCATTTGCGTGGAAATAAGCCGCGTGGAAAATAAGCCAATCGGTAACAAAATAATCACAGCACACTGTTTTAGAATGGGCAACTGCAGAGAAATAACTTCCATTTTGTAATACTGTAAAGTTGCTTAACTGCTTCGAGTAACCTTTGGTCCAATGAAGCCAAGTTATTTCTTCAAATCTGAAAATTACATGGAAACCAATCGCAGACAAATGAGTGCAGGGAGAATAACACGCATTGCACTACAACATGTCTCAAACTTGCTCTCCAACATACCTGTAAGCCAAAGCAAAAACAAATTGGCACGTTTGTTCACTTCATTATTCTACTGCGTCCGGTGGAGGAGGGTTTACAACACATTTTATTTTCCCTATTATGAATTCTAATTGGGTTAACCGGTTAACACAGTTCACAAGAACTGCATAGTGATAATTGAGTGGTTTCTTAGAATTTTCATTTAAACGTTTTAACAAAAAACTTACACCATGTGCACAAAAATCTCTCAAGCATTATTGAAAGCCACTCGTTCCTGAAGAATTGCACTGTGGTGATCTTGTCTCAAGTCACCATCAATTAACTTGAACAAACGTGAGTAACAGACCAGCTGATTGTATAATGCACACTGTTTATGCGTTGTTGAAACGTTTAGGAAATGTTACTGTGATAGGATTTCTCGTCGTTTACAGAATTTGTTGAAATATTTCATTGACGTATTGAAAGGCAAGAGGTTAATTTAAAAATACTTCCCTCTGGGACAGTATGGCCCTGAATGTTGCAAGCGTTTTACGCTTTCCTGAATTGACGTTCTCGTCTTAAATTCCAAAAGCATTTATCCAAGGTCAAAGTTATTATTTTGATCACAAAATGTAACTATTTGCTTGTAAGGAATGTACCAAAGGTTGTACACAGAAATGCAACAATGGGTACTCAAACTTTCCACCTTTTCACTCGATAATACCGTCATAATTGGTTTCTTCAATCGTTTTGCAAACCTCATTCTGGATTCAAGCTTTCCAATGCCATGTTGCCCGTAGATACAGTTTGACCGTACTTCAACTACGCTGGTATAATTGCGGGTTTGTAAGGGGGCGTGAGCCGTACCTGAGAAACGACCCTGAGTCGTTATCCACGACATCACCGATGTACTACCCCGCCGCATAGAATACGCACGCATGCTTTCATTTTTGAGCACATGACCTTCAATGGAAAAGGGTGATGCGTCTCTCCCTGGGTAATGTGTGTCCAGCCGTCCTTTTGTACGATACCAATGGCCTTGAAAATGGCCAATGATTTCTTGTCAATGTCGGTCCTGACAGCTCCAGCAAATTGACGCCTTTGAAATCATAAAATGCGTTTTTTGTTTGTTTATAACAGAAAGCTTTTATGTACATGTCCAATGTCACACTCATGAAAAAGGAGGTATTTTTCGCACCGAAAGCAACATTTCGGGAGTGCTCACCTTCGCTGAGATTGAGAGGACTACGATACAACCGTCAAATTAACTTGCACCTAAAGTATTTCTCCTTTGCAATATGTTCATGAAAGGTTTTCATCGAAAGGACACAATACTGAGCTCAAGTGGAGCACTTAAAGGACCATTCATGTTATCCTTTGGTGCATACCAAGTGCAATATGCGCCATGTGGTGTCCCCTACACGGCGCACCTGCCGTTGGTTGAAGGCGACCTGCACTGCATAATGCGTTGTGCACACATTAATGGACTGCTGACAGCAATTTCGCTTTCATTTGTCTTTACTGTATGTGACAGTACCTTTGTGCTCTATACAAATGCAAGGTATGGCCCCCTAGCTCTGTTGTGGCCGTGGCTGGATTCTTTTCCGGTTCATTGGCTTGTTTTAATAATTTGAAGAAAAATGAAACAACTACGACAGCATTACATAAGTTTTATATATGCATCCTGTCAAAGCAGTGTTATTGAAGAATGTGTTTTTTTTTACATTCCTACGACTATTGATAGTGCAGTGGTTATGGCACTAACATTTCGGGGGCTTTAGTGCAATTCCCAGTCACAGATGACTAACATCAGTAGCGAGAGGGTCCTACTAATAACTTCAAAATACCGAAAACTACCAAACGTTTACAGCAAACCGCACATTCACCCCAAAGCGCCAGGGACCGCATGGCTGGGCATGGGCTTTGTACAGGCAGGCCGTGGAAGGTGTACGGATGGGTAGGGGTGCTAAGAATGGTGAGCGAGAGAGATTCGAGGGAGGGGTGCAGGGGTAGGGGGTTCTGTGGATAAGATGGCCCTTTCTAGATTTGAAGCTTTCGTGACTGCATGGATCCATACTCTTTGGTTCTATTCGGTAAAGTCACGTAGGTAAAAAATAAAATAACAAAAATCACGACGTTTCGGCCACAACACAAGCGGCCTTCATCAGGTGAAGGGACCAACCTGTCCAGTGGACAGCGTTGGAGTGAAGCAAGCTAAGCGCTAGTCGCCTCCTTTTAAGCTGTGAGGGGGTAAACAGCAAACGCCTTGAAAAGGAAATTAGTATAAAACACGCCACTAACAACGCTTGGAATTAGCATAAGATGATAATACACCACCCTGGAAGTTTGGAGTGCCACTACTAGAAAAAATATACTGTACCATTGAAAATTAGTTTAATGTTTGGATCGATCGATTTAGAACATCTTTCCAATGGTTGCTTAATTTGAAACCATCTTCTCGGTTGAAATTGTGTCTGTGTTTGTAAATCTGAATTGCCTCGTGGACAAATCTCTGATGATAACCTGTCGGTTTGCAAAGGACCTTGGTATCGGAGAAAATTATATCGTGATCACCCACAGCGTTGTAACAATGATCAGCTACGGCAGAAGAATTTGTTCTGCCGTCTTTCAAATCTGATTTGTGCTCGCGAATTCGGTCAGAGACATATCGTTTCGTCTCCCCGATATAGCAATCACCACAAGTGCAGCTCAATTTGTAAACCCCGGGGTACTCTAAGTCAGGAATGACATCCTTCACGGATGGGATCAGGTCACGGATTTTGCGTACTGTATTGAACCGGACCAGGATCTTGTGTTTGTTTAGAATTTTGGAGATCTTTTTAGTAACACCTGCTATATA